CCTTCGTGGATTCTTGGAATCTTTCTTCCCCTCCTCTTTTGAATTTGGAACTTTCTTTTTATTTTTATCTTTATTTCGGGAAATTAAAAATTTAATTGTTTATGGTTTGAAATAAATACATATAAAAATTTAAAGTTTTGAAATACGCACATAAATATTTGATTTTGGATTTGTACTGATAAAAATTTAAAATTTTAAAATATATACATAAAAGCATATAATTTATATTAATGGTAAATAATTACTTAAAATTTTTTAAAATGTTATTTAAAAGAATGAAAATAAAATAAAATAAGAGTATTTAAGATATTTCATTTAATTTCAAGTTATTATGTATGACTACCTTAAACTACAAGTATGTTATATATATTTTAGATTAAACCTCATTTTGGTCCTTGAATTATTGTATGGACCCTCGATTTGGTTCTCAAACTTAAAAAATTCCTGATTTAATTTATACTGTTTAACATTTTAACCCCAACTTAGTCCTTCTGTTAAAAACCTCATTACGTGTCTTGTTAATTCACGGTTATATGGTGACATGGCAAACTATTAATACACGTGGAAGATAATATGATAAAAAATAATGACATGAAAAAAATAATAATATAAAAAAAATGTTAATATGAAAAATAAAACTTAAAAAAATTTGTCCTTTTTTCTTTTTCCTTCTCTTTCCCCTTGGAACCCAATGGTTGTTGGGTTCCATTGAACCTAGCACCCATCGCTGGGTTCCTTCGAACCCAACACCCATCGCTGGGTTCCTTTGAACTCAGGCGTGGGTTCGATGAAACCTAGGCGCAAGTTCCTTAAAACGTAGGGGTAAAAAATAAAAGAAAAAAATTTTTTTTTTTTTGGGATTTTGTTGTTTGATGATGATGAAGAATTGATTGATGAAGAATGGAATTTCATTTCGAAGAATTAATTGTTTGATTTAGAAAAATGATGATGAAAGTTCACTCCAAGAAGTAGACCTGACAAACAGGTAAGATTGGGTCATCTCGGATCTCTGGTTGTTTGGATTGGATTATTTCGGGTGTCGGTTTAAGGAGGTTAACCGATGACCCACCCACACGAGTCTTAGATTGGGTTGGGTTGACCCAACTTAAAAAAAAATTAAAATTAAAATTAAAATTTTTCTATATTTTTCTCTATTTTTCTATAACAAAATCTTATATTAATTAGCTATTTAGTTAAAAAAACCTTATTACTAATTAACTATTTAGTTAGAAAACTTATTAAATGTTAATTTCCATTTCATAATTCAATTTTTTTCCAATCTCAAGAAAAGAAAAGGAAAAGATTAGTGATTATACAGATGAAACTAAAATATATGTCAAATATATAATACTTATACAATATTTAAAATTCATAATTTCATAAATATATTAGCTTTCGTTAAAAGAAAAGACATGAATGATTAGAATTCAAAAGACAAATTCAATATATATATTAATATCTAGTGC